TTATTATTTAATTTTTTATTTTTATTTTATTTTCCTTCGGAACGTAAAGCCCTTAGAGAAGTCCCTCTCCACGGCTCCACGTGAGTATGTGTTTCAGCCCCCCACGCCATCCTATACGGCGGGACCCAACACGCCCACACACTCGGTATACTGTATCGATGGGAATTTTATTATCTTCCCGTCTTGTGAAATCACTGCGATTTTTCCCCTCCGTGCTTTCAGAAAACTTTTTTCATACATATTACATTTGCGCGCGTATAACCAGTACTCACATACTTCGATGATATATTTCGATTTTCTACCTCAAACCTGACCCACACGATATCATTTTAATATTTTTACATTTTCATATGTAAAATACAATGTACATTAGCTATTATTTTTATCCGCGTCACTTACATCGGCACGTTGTGCGATTTTTCCACGCTGAATTTTACTTTATGTACATATTCGTCGCATTCATATATACGTGCATCGTCGCTGTTCCATCTCTGTGTGATGTAATATGCGAACAAATTATTTATTTCTCTCCACAACAATGTCGAAACCTTCAAAAATAATAATATAATTTTCGCATTTTTTCGCAGATACGAAGAACTTTTTTTTTACGGACTTACATTCCGTTAAAAAATATTTATTTTCAAAACTTTTCCACCATCAACACCTCCTTCCACTTTTCTCGATTTTGTACTTTTTCTTCTCAATTTGATATTCTTAATTTCTCTAAGTACTACTTTATTCCGTCTATCTATCGCTTCTTAGAGCGTACTCTTGACCTCTTTCTAATAGGTTTTCACTCGACCGCCGCTTTTAGGTACTCTTAGCTTTATGATCTGCTCATAACGTGGCCAAACCATTAGGTTCTTTGTGCTTTGAAAATGTTAAATATAAAATATAGGTACTATGGTATAAAAATAATATATTATTCTGTACGGATTACGGAAGTATTATACTACTCGAAGAAATACTACAAATATTCTCTTAATTGGCGACACTTATTATTATCAACTTATTATCAAATACGAGTATATCACATTATTGATATTTTTGCTAAAAATAGACTAACTAAATTTGTGCTATAAGAATAGTTGTTTTTTTTTCTATAGTTTTGTGAAAATTATGCTTTAGCCCTCCTCTCCCAAACCAAGTATTTGGAACCGCACCTGTTTGTATTTGCTTTATTTAGAAAAGTTAATACGTTAAATTTATAATTCAGGCGAATGCTGTAGATTATGTATTATATACATATATACTAAGTGTTGTACAACGATAACCAATAAATTATCTAAATGAGATAAATAGATAATGCTCTAATTATGTATCTTGATAATAGATAAAAGATAACCACTTTTATCTAGATAAAAAAACAGATAATTAAAATTTAATGTTGTTATTCAAGCTTACTCCAGTAGGAAACAATAGAAGCAGATATAATCGGCTGCCATTTTGCGACAAATGATTAGTACTTATTACTATCAAAACATACAGAATACAAATATTACAGATACGTTTTCGTTAGTAAAACTAAAAAATCTATATGATTTACACAGATATATTTTTTTTATTTACATTACATTACACTACATTACATTTAAAAACTAATTAAGCTTGATATATATAGTTTTTAACCTTATCGTGAATATAATTTGAATAATATACCACCAAAGATGAGTGGTTTTACAGCGGTAAACTGTTCCAATACACGTAGTGAAGGTTTTCGTCTTTTTCGGTTTCCAAGAGACCCTAAAAGACGAAAAACTTGGATACAGAATTGCCATCGTGACAAATGACAGCCTACAAATTCATCTGAGTTGTGTGTAGTATGTGTGAAGTATTAGATTAAACTTAAGAAGCCTTAATCATTATGTATTTATACAATTTAGTCATGTTAATATTTTTTGTCGTTTTCTTTAGAACATAGTTATTATTTTTTATTTTATATTTTTTGCATATTCCAATAGATCCATTTAGAAGAAGGTCAATTCGAACAAAATTATCAAGATGGTGTAAAAAGACTAAAACCAAATGCTTTACCAACATTATTTGATATACCAAATGCACCTCGCTTGTTGGAAACCAAAAGAAAATCTTTGTATAATTATATTTCATAATAATGTAACTTGTAAATTGATAAAATAGTTTAAAATTACTATTAATAGTAATAATAATTTGGTTTTAATAATGAATTAAGATATATAGTTTATACAAAGATTTTCCTTTAATTTCCAATAAGCGAGGTGTATTTAGTATATCAAATGATGTTGGTAAAGCATTTGGTTTTAGTTTTTTTACACCATCCAAACGATGTTGTTTGAATTGTTCTTTTCAAAATGGTCCTATTGGAATATGCAAAAAAAATAAAATAATAAATAATAACTATGTTTTAAAGAAAACAACAAAAAATATTAACATGACTAAATTGTATAAATACATTATGAAAAAGGCTTCTTAAGTTTAATCTAATACTTACTTCACATAACTCAGATGAATTTGTCTGCTACCATTTGTCTCGGCGACAATTTTGTAACCAAGTTTTTCGTCTTTTAGGGTTTCTTGGAAACCGAAAAAGACGAAAACCTTCATTACGTGTATTGGAACAGTTTACTGCTGTACAACCACCCATTTCTTGTAGAATTTTATAGTTTCACACACAATATGTAAATTAAAATAATATAATAAAAGGTTCAGCTGAATAGGCTGAATCTGTTATCACTATGTATCAACTGTCGCAAAATGGTGGACGATCATATTCACCTTTTATAGTGCCTTAACTCCAACGGGTCCTGTTTTCTCCGTAATTTAATGTATATAAAACGTAATATCAATATAAACACAATCAAGTGGCAAGGCGACCACATATTTGTAAACGTTAACTATTTACAGATGAAAATGTTTTTCCCCCAATGATAATGCTAATCACCGACGACACATTTTATAGGGCCAACATTCGTACTCGGCATAAATCATAGTTGTTATTATAACAATTATTAATATATTTAATATTTCGTAATATTGTTATTATTAAGTATGCACATTTGAGATCGACCATTCCGAACAACAAATTACATTGAGTCGCGTGTCAATATCTAACTGATGAAAGACGAATCACGCATCTCCCAGGCGTGATCTCTTCTATTGATATTAAATCAATTGCATCATTGTTTTTATATGGCAATTAATCGAAGGTAAATATCGAATCAATTATTTATGTAGAAAAAATGATTTGTTAAACGTGTAATTGCACTGGTAGTTTATTTTCGCATATTGGCTTTTATTTATAACGAATGGGTAATTATTCCGAAAAAGCGTTTTCTGGAAAATAGTAATATACAGTATGTTAATTAATTGGAAAGTCATTAATTATTACTCCTAATATAATGCATATTTTGAAATTCCGTTTTTTTTTAACATAATATGTAACTTGTAGAACATCTTTTATCAAGGTTAAAAAATACAAAATTCAAAACCGCCAAAATTTCGAAAATAACCATTTTGTAAAATTATCTATAAGTTACCTAAAGAAAAAAAAATATTTAAATTGGTTGAATTTTGAATGAATGAGAGCTCAAAAACAATCAGCAAAAAAGAAAAATATTAATGAGTTGTGTGTACTTCATTACCTAATATCATATTATTAGTTATCTATTTTAAAGTTTAAAAACCATACAATTTTAAAATTTGCTGTGTTTTTTGAAAATATAAAATGCTCTCATTTATTCAAAGTTCAACCGATTTAAAATTATTTTTTTCTCTGAGTAACTTATAAGTAATTCTAAAAAGTGACTATTTTCAAAATTTTTGGTGGTTTTGAATTTTGGATTTTTTTTGACCGTGGTAAAAGATGGACTATAAGTCACATATGTTTAAAAAAACGGAACTTAAATATCTGCATTATATTAGGATTAATAACTTCTGACTTTACAATTAATTTACATACTGTAGTATACATATATATATATATATATTTATGTTATTTATTATTTACATTTATTATTAGTGGTATATGTTGCATAGGACTCAATACGAGTTTACGCAGAGCGTGATGCGTACTAGGTAATTCTAAACTATTTACTCGTTTTATTTTATTATTTGTTTGGGACAAAATGTCTCTGATCTACAAGCGTGATTTAAAATAATTGTTTGTCAAAAATATTTAAATCATTGACCGAATAATAATTTATCTAGATGATTATTCTCAGATGGCTTATTTATTTATCTAAATAAGATAAAAAGATAACTATATTTTATCTAGATAATGCACAACACTGTTAGTAGGGTATACATATGTACATTGCACACGAGCAGTGTCCGCGTCTCAAGTAAGATCAGTGGTGGCTGCGGTCGCACGCTTGACGATGGACTGGAATGGGTCGCGTGGAGGGGAGGAGGAGGAAAAGGAGGTGTGAGATGAATAAAATATTTACAAAAATTAAACTTGTTCGCAGCGCGCGCGAACATATGTTAAATTCTCGCGTGGCGCTCGGAGACGCATCGCCGCCGGACAGCACATACGTATAGCTACAGATAGCGCAGTACAGCGATACACATTCGAATGAAGTGGACGGCGCGCTTACAGCTTTATATACGTGTATCTCGTTCGAGCGCATATATATATATATATATATATATGCATGTACAGTAGGCGTTTCACTTTAGGCAGTA